GTACGTAACTTGGTTCCATGCTATAACTATAATATAATATAGGAATGCACCTAAGCTAGGAAATCAAGCATAAATTGTGAAGAATGAGGAATGAATGAACTAGAAAGCAGGTAGGTACAAGTAGGAAACCTAGAAAAGTTGTACCCTATAGTGTCTACCCCACTACAGCCTAGACAGACTATAGTATAAGAGTTTGACACACCCCCATAGGCAAAGTGGGGGAGAACAAGAGGTCACAAGACCAGTCAAGCAAAGCAAAGCAAGCTCAGGGTGGATCACAACGTCACCACACAGTCCGAGCACAAGAGCAAGGCCATAAGGCCAGTTCACATGCAAGATCATATATATATAGGTAAACAAGCAAGTGCATGTATAAAAAGATCACAGTACAAGCAAGGTCAAGAAGTGAGCAAGTGAGGCCAAGTAGGCACAAGACCTAGCAACGTACAAAAGCGCTGATGATCACAAGGCGGAAGTGCCTTGGTAAAGATATCAGCAGTGTTGGCCTCAGAGGCCACGTAAGCAAGGCGCAGCTGACCACGCTGCTGCAGCTCACAAGCAAGGTAGTAGCGAAGCGCAATGTGCTTCGTTCTGTGCTCCAGTCTGTGCTCCCGACACAAGGCCAGCATGGCCTTGTTGTCTACGTACAGAACTGGAGGAGAACGAGGCGGCTCTCCGAGGTCAATCAGCAGGTAGGTGAGCCAGCGTAGCTCCTGTGCAGCCATGGCCCCCGCGTAGATCTCAGCCTCACAGCTAGAGCCGAGAACAGAAGACGAGCGGGTAGACCACCACAAAACAGAGCCGAAGCCAAGGCTGAAGGTGTAACCCTGTGACGACCGCTGCGTAGCCTGGTCGTCAGCCCAAGAAGCGTCTGCGTGACCTGTGAGGAGCACTCGACATCGCCCTCCAAGCACTAGCCCCATGCCCAACGTAATGCACAAGTAGCGCAACACCCTCTTCGCTGCAGCCATGTGCTCTGGTCGGTGTCTCCCAGGAGCAACATAGCGTGCCAAGATGCTAAGAGGGTATGCAAGGTCAGGTCGTGTGCATGTCATCAGGTACATGAGGCAGCCCACAAGCTCTGGGTACGGGCCACTCGGCTCTACGGACTCATCCGAAGGCAGAGCTGAGAGCGAGTGACGAGTAGACAGAGGAGTGGCCTGAGGCGAGGAGTACGTGAAGTCAAAGCGCTGAAGGACCTGTTGCACCATGTGTGACTGAGTCAGGGTAATGGTGCGCTGCGCTCTGTCCCGGGTGATCTGCAAGCCAAGGTAGCTGCGTAGTTCACCCAGGTCTGTGCACGTGTGTCTCTTCTGCAGCTCGGACGGGGGTGGGAGGGGAGGCAAAGATATGGGAAGACCACAGACAAGGAGGTGGGAGTGCATGCCACGGAGGCGTGGCAAGGAGGGGTGACCAAGGCGGTGGTGCCAAAGGAGAGTCTGGTGCGACAGGAGGTGACACGAACAGGGGGCTGCTAGCTGACCTGACGCGGACACAGATGTAGCTACCTGAAGAGGCTCAGTAGTTAGTGTGTACAGGCTCGACCTAGGTCGACGGGTGAACATGGCCAGGTGACAGGCCCGTCCGCGCACACGTGCAGATCACCACACGCTGTCCTCCAAGGGTAAAGGTGTCAACCCAAGCATCCTGAAGGATGGCGTTACTCACCAAGTTTGTAGAAAACAAGGGGAGGTGAAGACCTGACCATCACAAAAACCCTATGCCAAGTTTGGTCGAATTTTGATTTCGATTGTCTTCGCGTAAAAAAATCCGTAGCCAATTTGGACCGACGGTTGGAGTCATTTGATAGGAGCTCCGAGACACATCTCGCGACAAGGCTTGGCTCGGTTCAAGTTCCAATTTGGCACGCGAGCTTTTCCGGATGACATTCCGACGCAATCCGTTTTGTTGCAAATTCGTGACCAATTTATTCAATACTAAATTCTGTTTTTGTTCATTTTGGATTTTGGGGATTTCAAAATTGCATTTATTATTGCGGTTTACAAGAACCATTATTCAGCATGCTAGCAACAATCAGTCTTAGCACCAGGTCAAATAGCCTACGCATTGGCGGGCCTTGAAAGCGCCCGGTGGGCAAGGACGACATCTCCAAGGTCGCCGTCGTCGATGAGGAACTTGTTCGGAAAGACGAACGCACCCATAGCCGGATCGTGGGGGATCCTCCGCTCCACGACAGCAAAATGGATCATCTGTTTGACCTTTTCGCACCACTCCTGGTAGTCTGGCCTGTTCTGCTCTGGCTGGCTACTGATTCGCTTGCGACGCTTATCCTGCAGAAGGGGCCATTCGATCTGCAATGTGGTGTAGTAGGGTTGGGTGGGTGGTTTATGAGGAGGGTAGGTTACGGGTAAATGAGGCAACTGAAAGCGGTGATGCAGTCGTCACTATCTACGTAACTGCAAAGGCCTAATCGACCAGGGATTAGGGTTGAAGTACAGGCAAGGGGTTAAGGGGATGAGGCATGGGGGTACAAACACATATCTACATCCTTACCGAAAACAGGCCCCATGCCACCATTCGGCTCTTGAACTTGGTGAACACCGCCCCGCCCCTCTTGAAGGAGATCTTGAACGCATAAGCGAACAAGGGGTTGCTGAAGGGCGTCCCGGTGGCCTTGTCAAAGTGCCAGTTGAGGGCCCACTGTTCTGTTTTTTGGCAGGGAGGGTATGGGTTGGAAAGGGTTTTGTAGAGAAATCAAGTGGGGGGATGAGTGTCAGGGTGAGCCACATCGCACGGTGATATGTAGCTGCCAACTGGCATATGGTAGAGCATATTGTATTTTCGAGTTGCACATACCATCTCTGTACTCGGCTAGGAGTTGAACGTCATCGAACCAGGTCGTTGGGTGTAGCTCAGTGGACAGGCTATCCACGAGATGGCTGTAATCAGCAAGGCCCATGCCGGTGTATGTTGCTGGCCTGAGGGTGGAGTTGATAGTTGACCTTGTTGAGGACAGCTGGTGGTTGAAGACTCCCATGGTTGACTTGTCATTGTGCAACCACAGCAGCTTCATTGCCTCGAGCCCTTCTGCAGACAAGTGGATAGAGAACGCTTCGAACACTTCCTCCGGTGCAGGGTAGTACTGTATTTTCTCCGGCGGGTTCAGAAACATGAGCTGAGAGCACACTAAGTAGGCTTTGTTCTGCGCAGTGGTGTAAGGTATACAACACGACATGGGAGAGAGAAACCAGCAGTTATGTGGGTGGCCGCGTGACCATGGGATTGTGACTAGCAACACTGTGTGAACTTGCCACGTCACACCCTGCGCCATCCGACACGTCCACCAACAACCCGGCCCATTCTGCCACGTCACACCTCCCTACCACAAGCCACGTCACCCCCCACCCACCTGACACGCCTCGCTTCGTCATGCGCAGTTGTCACGTGTACCTTTTCTAACCGCCACGTCATCCCCAACCCTCACATGCTGCCACGTCACACCCACCTGCATCCGCCACGTCATCCCCAACCCTCACCTTCCGCCACGTCAGACCCTCCTGCATCCGCCACGTCCACCAACCAGCCCCACGTGCCACATCACACCCTCCTGCATCCGCCACGTCCACCAACAACCAGCCCCACGTGCCACGTCACACCCTCCCATCCCATGCCACGTCACCCCCCCACCCACCTGACACGCGTCGCCTCGTCAGTGGCCGCTCCTGTGTACCATTCCAAACCGCCACGTCAGCCCCAACCCTCACATGCTGCCACGTCACACCCTTTTGCATCCGCCAACAACCCGCCCTACTTGCCACGTCACACCCCCACCAAGAGCGACGTCACCCCCCACCCACCTGAAACGCCTCGCTTCGTCATGCGCCGCTCACGTGTACCCTTGTAGGGTGCCACGTCATCCCCAACCCTCACCTTCCCCCACGTCACACCCACCTGCATCCGCCACGTCATCCCCAACCCTCACCTTCCGCCACGTCACACCCTCCTGCATCCGCCACGTCCACCAACCAGCCCCACGTGCCACGTCACACCCTCCTGCATCTGCCACGTCTACCAACAACCAGCCCCACGTGCCACGTCACACCCTCCCATCCCATGCCACGTCACCCCCCCACCCACCTGACACGCGTCGCCTCGTCAGTGGCCGCTCCTGTGTACCATTCCAAACCGCCACGTCAGGCCCAACCCTCACATGCCGCCACGCCACACCCTTTTGCATCCGCCAACAACCCGCCCTACTTGCCACGTCACACCCCCACCAAGAGCGACGTCGCCCCCCACCCACCTGAAACGCCTCGCTTTGTCATGCGCCGCTCACGTGTACCCTTGTAGGGTGCCACGTCATCCCCAACCCTCACCTTCCCCCACGTCACACCCACCTGCATCCGCCACGTCTTCCACAACCCTCACCTTCCGCCACGTCACACCCTCCTGCATCCGCCACGTCCACCAACAACCAGCCCCACGTGCCACGTCACACCCTCCTGCATCCACCACGTCCACCAACAACCAGCCCCACGTGCCACGTCACACCCTCCCACCCCATGCCACGTCACCCCCCACCCACCTCTCACGCGTCGCCTCGTTACGCGCGGCTCCTGTGTACCATTCCAAACCACCACGACAGCCCCAACCCTCCCATTCTGCCACGCCACACCCTTTTGCATCTGCCAACAACCCGCCCTACTTGCCACGTCACACCCCCCACCAAGAGCCACGTCACACCCCCCACCAAGAGCCACGTCACCCCCCACCCACCTGAAACGCCTCGCTCCGTCATGCGGCACTCCCTTGCACCCTTTCACACCGCCACGTCATATCCCAACCCTCACCTTTTGCCATGTCACACGCACTTGCATCCGCCACGTTCACCAACAACCCGCCCCACTTGCCACGTCACACCCACCCACCCCATGCCACGTCACCCCCCACCCACCTGATACGCGTCGCCTCGTCACGCGCCGCTCCCATGTTCCCTTCGAACCCGCCACGTCAGCCCCAACCCCGACCTTGTTGCCACGTCAACCCCAACCCGCCCCATTTGGCCCGCCACATACCGGGAATGGGTTTGTCTCCTGCAACACTAGCACTCGTGCCTTGTCCACGGCGCTCATCGGCGGCGGGGTACCAGCCATAGGCAGGGCTGCCGACCCGCCGGCATAGCTGGCAGGTACTCCACGACGCAGGCCGAGCTGTGCAAACATGGCGTACATCTCAGACCGCAGCGCCTGGAACTCCTCCCGTGTAACAAACTGCTCGTGCTCCTCACTTTCACCTAGGGCACCCATGAGCGGAGGAAAAGGGTGTGAAGAATCCCCCCTCTGGCCAAGGGTATCAACGTCTTCTGCAGCAGTCCCGTGTGCCCTCACACTATCACGCTGGCGGGAAAAGGGGAGCTCAGGGAAGGGATTGGCATAAGTGCCTGCCTGATGCCCGCGCGAAGGACCAGCGATGGGGGAGACCGCCCTGCCCCGGACAGGAGAAGCGTGGAGTTGCCGAAATGGGTACGAGGGTGAGGCGAGTGAGGAGTGCGTGACGGGGACGGGTGGAGGGGATTCGGATTCCTCTCCTCTTGGCGCGCCGGGTGCCGTCGCAGCGACTTTGCTGGGGCCGGCCCATGGCGTGTAGAACCTTGGTGCGCCGGACGAGAGCGGTGTAACACTCGCTATTCCGGCAGCCTTCGTTAGATACATTCGTTGCACGCTTAAGGGCGGCCCAATGCCTGTAACGCGAGGGGCTGAGATGTAGAGGGAGTGGGAAAATAAAAATTGGAGTCGATCGGTTTCAAGGCGGGGCCAGACATGCATGCATATTCAGAAAGGTTTGAATCTAGATCGGGTTTAGGGTTGTACTGGTTTGAGACAAGAGGGTTTACCTTGCTTGGCAGATTCGTCAACCTTCTCCTTCCGTGCAGGAGAGAAACAATGTGAATAAAGGGTGTTATTTGGGACGGTTTAGCAGATTGTTTAACACGTCACGCCAGTTGTATTGGACACAATGCTCACCTTTCTGTTGTCCCTTCGGTTTTGGGGCAGCCTGCGCCTTCTCGTTGCCACCTTTCCGCGGGGTGCTTCGGCGCACGCTGCGACGTTTACCGGCAGGTTCCTTCTTGCCGGTACCCACTCGAACCCCTTTGGCGCGGCCACCCTTTCCTCCTCCATCCCCTTTTGCACCCTGGCTCCCTTGCTTTTTACCAACCCCTTCACTTTCGACCTTCACCTTACGCGCCTTCCGTTTGCCCGCTGCTTCGCCGCGCGCAGCGTCACCTGCCCCACGTTTTCGGGAAGGGCGAGTCCGGCCCCCCTCCTTCCCTGTCCCACTCACCCGACCGCCACGCCCGCCCCGTCTCTTCCCTGGCGCCACATCCTCCTCCTCCTCCTCCTCCTCCTCCTCCTCCTCCTTCTCTGATGCCTCCTCCTCCTCCTCCTCCTCCTCCTCCTCCTCCTCCTCCTCCTCGTCACCCTGCTCCTCCTCCTCATCCCCCTCCTCCTCCTCCTCCTCCTCCTCCTCCTCCTCCTCCTCCTCCTCCTCCTCCTCTTCGTCCTCCCCGCCATCATTCTCATCTTTAGCATCCTCCCCAACATCCGCGTCTTGCTCCTCCGCTTCCTCTTCATCCTCCTCTCCCTCCGCATCCTCCTCCTCATCCTCCTCCTCCTCCGTATCACCGGGGTCTTCATCGCCCCGTTTCGGCCTCGTTCCTGTCGCTGCTTTCTTGCCTCTCCTTCCGCCAGATGCTTTTCTTGCTGCGGGGCGGCCCTTCTGGCGCAATGCTTGACCGCCCGCCTTGCCACTAGCTTCCTTGGCGCCTTGCGGTGTGTCAACTTCCGCGCCTCCGGCGTTGTCAGCACTACCTGTCGTCTGGCGCCTCTTCGCCCGCGTGGTGAGGTCCCCGGGCACGGCGGTGTCATCATCCTCCTCCCCATCGCTCTTCCTTTGCCTACGCCTTCCCCGTCCACCAGAAGGAGGAGAGCCACCGACCAGCCCCACCGACTCGTGCTGTGCCACCTTGTCCTTATCCAGCACGGCTGCAGAAACTTCGACCACGCTCGGCTAGAGCAGCGTCAGATGGTGTTGCGTTGCCGCCTCCTCGGACTCCTTGGTTGCGGCATGCTCGGTGCGAGGATCGCCTCCGTGATTTCCCCCTGTCGCCGAACCCTCCATCTCCGCCGACGGGAGTGCAAGACTCGCGCTCCCTCGCCCCGGATCTTCGTTGCCGCCAGTGGTGCCGTCTTTACTCGGACCGGGCTCGGTTCCAGCAGAGGCACCATCCGCAGCTTTGTTCACTGTAGAAACACGCTTGCGTGGCGTTGGTTTAGGCCCCTTGTCTGCCGCTTTCTTGCCGGCCTCCTGTTGACCGCGCGCGACCTTTTTTGCCGCCGCTTTTTTCGGCCCAATGCCACGAGCGACGAACGCATTGTTTTTTTTAGCGCCGCCACCACTCTCCCTATCGATTTGTTTAGACGTCCCCCTTGTCGCGCGGCGGCCGGCCTGTTCCTCCTCCATTGCTTGGTTACGTGTTGCACGTGTCATGGTAATCGTAGGAAGAGCAAAGTTGCAAATCGCGCGGAAGGGTTGAGCCGGTTTCGAAAGGGTTTTGCTACTGAATCCCACGAAGGCATAATCGGCCGTCTATCACTGTTATGTGTTTACGAAAACAGCCGCTTCAACTAAGTCTGAAATAGTAGCCACTATGCTTCGCGCTAAGCCCGATCTGGAGAGGCGTGTGTCAAGGCAACGAGCAGCGTCAAAGTGTTGGCCCAGGGAGTGACGGAAGCAGGTGGGTGGGGCACGAGGGTGGTTGGGGTGAGTTGCGAGACTAGAGAGAGAAATGTAACCCTATCAGGCTACATTGGACGGTGTACGTGTAGCCACCCTAGCATAAACCCACCTTCCGCTCGATCTCAGCCGCCCAATGGCTGAAGTACCTCTTGGCTGATGACTGTGTTGCGGGGGGAATCGTTTGAGATGCGTCGGCCAATGACGGTTGCCAACACATCAATCACAACAAAAGGTAAACCTGGTGTGAAACCTACAGTGCGAAATTAGTCAAATCCCTGCAAAGTACAGTGTTTTCAGTTGCAAAGTAACAACGCATTTCATCAAACTCTAAGTTGCAACTGGTTTTGTACGGGGTTGGGGTAAGTTAATCGGTGATTCTCACGTCACACACACAACGACCGTCTTGAATTATTACTTAGGAAAGATGTACTGCGCACTTTTAGGCTTTGCCACAATGGTTTAGGGCCAGCGGACGTCATTCTAACACGATTATCAATAATAACAAACGTGAATCCGTTGTGGTATGGTGTTGGATTGTCATCCATTCTTGCACAGACATTACACAAGGTGCTTAGAAGGAGTGGTATGAAGCACAGGCCCAACGCACAAGCGTAGATGCGTTATCGACAGTCATGTTTAGACTGTGCGACGATGCATCGTTCAGGCCTCCGCGTTGCGCGACTTGGTGAATCCGTTGTGGTATGGTGTTGGATTGTCATCCATTCTTGCACAGACATTACACAAGGTGCTTAGAAGGAGTGGTATGAAGCGCAGGCCCAACGCACAAGCGTAGATGCGTTATCGACAGCCATGTTTAGACTGTGCGACGATGCATCGTTCAGGCCTCCGCGTTGCGCGACTTGGTGAATCCGTTGTGGTATGGTGTTGGATTGTCATCCATTCTTGCACAGACATTACACAAGGTGCTTAGAAGGAGTGGTATGAAGCACAGGCCCAACGCACAAGCGTAGATGCGTTATCGACATTCATGTTTAGACAGTGCGACGATGCATCGTTCAGGCCTCCGCGTTGCGCGACTTGGTGAATCCGTTGTGGTATGGTGTTGGATTGTCATCCATTCTTGCGCAGACATTACACAAGGTGCTTAGAAGGAGTGGTATGAAGCGCAGGCCCAACGCACAAGCGTAGATGCGTTATCGACAGCCATGTTTAGACTGTGCAACGATGCATCGTTCAGGCCTCCGCGTTGCGCGACTTGGTGAATCCGTTGTGGTATGGTGTTGGATTGTCATCCATTCTTGCACAGACATTACACAAGGTGCTTAGAAGGAGTGGTATGAAGCACAAACCCAACGCACAAGCGTAGATGCGTTATCGACAGCCATCCATTCTTGGATATTCGTTCTTCACGGTGCGGCACGATATATGTATTTGCTCCAAGCACCAATCATACGTTACGGCATGGAGTTACCGGGTAGTTTCCGTATCGTTATCGAGTAAGGATTGTTCAAGAACAGTCCCAAGGATATGAATGTTTACTATTTATGAATGATACGAGTTTCTTGTTAAGTTGTAACTGTACATATGCATTTCCAGGTTTGTTTGACGCCTCTGTAGCTCACCTACGTAATTCCGATTTTGAGGCTATATCGATTCGCGACACAATCAGAGATCCAAACGGATCTCTTCCCGCTCTTCCTCATCCTCCTCGACTCTCACGCACAGTTCATAAACACTTGTTCTAGACTCAATAGGCACGTCCTTCTCGCCTTGCTTGCGAATCACACACACGACCATGAGACTTAAGATCCAGTGCATCTCCCCTGGCCACGTCGTGGTCGCTGTAAACGGGGGCGACACGCCTTGTAGGGAAGACGGCCCGTGCTATGGGCGGTCTCTATCGTGCCTGGTAACGACCACGCGGCTCGACAACGTTAGCCAGTCATATACATTAGCGCGTGCGTCAAGTGCCAGTCGTGCAGTGATACAAGCCGCCCACCACAGTGCGCGCATTGGCGATGATCGTGTAGCTGTCACAGACTTCTTGAACGGGGTAGTTAATGCGTTCACAGGCTTCATCACGGGTAGTAGCTTCATAGGCCAGGTCTCGACTCTACAACGGATCCGTAACTGATGGGCTCTTTACCAGGCGTCGTTTGCGAGTTCTGCAACAGATGGTTCCCCAACGCCCAAGTTTATGGCGGTCATAAGTCACGGCGGACCCCTTGCCAAGGACTATCCGCCGTGGCGAGGCCCACGCGATCTGCACCGACCGCCGGTCTTCACGCTTTGCTATTCGTCCACGACATTCTGTCGGACGCTCCAGCCGCTCCCGGTTCACCTACAGCGTCTAACGCATCCAACGCCGTCAGTGTGAGCCGACCTCCACGCGTTCCTGATGCTCACGTTGACGAAACTCCCAACGACGTGAACGAGGGGCCTCCTGAAGATGAACATCAACCACGGCATGGAGCTTCTGCGGCTGAGACGACTGACCATCCTGAGAGCCGGCCCGAAGGGAGTCATGCCGCGCCGCCAACCGTCATCTCCGGACAGAGCAATGCCATGCCCCTCAATCCGCTCGCGTTGAAGCTACTGCATTTCGTCCGGCGCGTGAATGGCGGAATGGGAATGGCCGAGGTTGACATCAACGGCCTGCTTCAGCTAGTCGTAGAGCCCGGCCTTGCGCCTCTTGTGAACTCGGAGCTCCGGAACTGTAAGGATCTGGAGCGGTTCGAGTTGGAGCGCTTGGCAGGGCTCAATCGCGGATGGTCGGTGGCGACCTTCGAGATTGACGGTCATCCACCACAGCGCTTGCTCTTCCAGAACTCAGCCCAGGTAAGCCGACTTTGCATTCAAGGCCGTGAAATGATGATGAGGCACACAGGGTTTGCATGTACTTAGTTATCCTTGTATTAACCGTACACCCACCTTCTCTGCCACGAACCATGCCTCTCCTCTCACCTGCTTTCGCCACCGTACACCAGGCATTCGCTGAAATGTTTGGACATCCCAACAACGCGCCCGGCTTCAAGCTCAAGGCGCGTGTAGATGAGGACCCTGACGCAGGCGGCCGTCGCTATACCACGCCCGAAACAGGAACGTGGTGGAATGATGCTCAGGTAAGGAAAGACCACGTTGCCACCCCAAACCCAATCCTGAGTCATGCATCCATCGCAGCACTGATCTCTCAAGAGCATCTTGAGTGTTAAACCGTGTGTCCGTTGCCGCTTTGTCGTGCACTGCAGGAACACTTCGGTTGGTCCGAAGTTGTGGGGGGGATCATCTTATATTCGGATGTGACGCACATGAGCAACAACGGCCGGAAAAAGGCGTGGCCGCTCATGATGACGCTGGCGAACATCGCCCAGGCCAAGCGATGGGGGAAAGCCGGTCACACACTACTTGCCCTCCTTCCAATCCCCCCATCTGCAATGTCTGCCGTGGAGAAGGTGATGCTCTTCCAGCGTTGCGTCATCACCGTGCTGCAGCCGCTTCTTGATGGCATCGCCAGGTCCGTACTCGGTTTGCATCTTGCTAAGACATCATCTCACCACCTGCATGGTATGCAAACCCTCTCTGTATGTAGCATGGCCCTTTGCCCCTCGTCGTTCCTCCCTAAAAGCCGCAACCTTGAATGCCTGTTGCCACTCACTCCATTCCTTGCAGCGGGTTCCGTCTCAGGGACCCTTTCGGAGATTGGCAAACCGTGCGGCCCCTGCTGTACGCCTGGGTGTGCGACTACCCCGAGAGCGGCAAAATCAGTTGCACACTCTCGCATGGATCGCGGATGCCGTGCAGCATCTGCTATGCTGCAAAGGTGAGGTCACATGCCATCTGCACGCATTCAATTACATTCCCGTTTGTGGCTCGCCTGAGCGAACCCACATAGCTACCACCCTTACCTTTTCTATCCCATCCCTCGGCCCCATGCTACAACAGGAGCATCTGAGTGCTGTCAAGGCACGGAACACGCCGCGCACGCCTGAACAGCAGCAATGGATCGTTAACGAGGCGGCGGGGACGACAACTAGCCAGGACAACCCGTGCAAGGCCTACTCTACCTACCCTGTTGAGGTGAGTGACCTGTTTCCCCGGCCCATGAGTAGTCTATGCTCTCGCCCGCCCCGTCATGAATTGCCAGATGTGCTCTGCCCCATTGAACTCACCCGACTTGTGGTTTAGATTACCTATCCACTCTCACGTACATCTCTCCTCCATTCCCCCACCACATCCCCATTTCCAGTGCGTGCTCTGGAAGTGGGATGTCCCAGGGACCGCGTGGGGCAATCCCTACCTCGTGGTGATGCCTGACATCATGCACCAGGCGGACCTAGGCATCATGAGCCACATTGTGGCTGTCGTGCGCAAGATGAAGAAGCGGCGTGTGAAGCAGATGGACAGGTCAGTGTTTTGGGGATTGGATTCGTTGCTCCTGGTCACAATTACTCAAACCATAAGTTCTGTCCTATTACTGACCTGTTTCTGCCCTTTTGGCGCCGCTGAACTGATGTGTATGGGCAGGCGCCTGTCTCTCATTCGCGACCGCACGCGCCTGAATCACATGCGCCTGCCGGAGAGCGCCTACTTCGAGACCGGCGCATGTGTGGCGGCCTATGAGCACAGGGCCGTCATGCAGGTATGAACCCTCCATTCCCTGTTGCTTGTCCTGGCCTAAACCCTCAAGCAGTCTGCTCATGCTGCCATTGTCCGTCATGCTCCACTCCTCACACCATCTGTGCTCACCCTCCCCTTTGCTGCTATCCACGTTCTTTGCAGGTCATGGTGTTTGTTTTTGCAGGTCTGCTTCGCCAGCCCCAGATGGATGCCGTTCGTGCCTATCTTGGCTGGTACATCCTGTGCTCCTAGCCACAGGGGCACACTGAGCGGTCCCTCCGGGAGCTGAAGAAGATGACCTCTCGGTAATAATATCACGCATGTAAATCCCTGTGCATGGGATGTATGCTTGGCTACTGTAAATGTGCTCTTGTAGTAGGCAATCTTGTGAGGATGTTGCTGCTAAACTTTGATGAAAAGGATCAGGAATAGGAAAAGCATATGAATAAGTAGACTCTGTGAATGCATGTGTTGTCATCTCCCACTCCCATCAGGCTCGTTGAGCAGTTGCAGGCTGCGTTTCCAAAGCAGCCATCCTCTTGGTGCCTTGTGAAAACACATCTCATGTCGCACTACATCGACTCCATACGTCGGGCGGGTCATGTGACTGAATTCAGCACCAACATGTTCGAGCACTTGCACGGACCGTTGGTAAAGAGGATCTACCGTCGGTCCAACAAGCGCAATGTAGATGGGCAGATCATGAAGTTCCATGCTAGGCGCATTCCGGATGTGGTGCCGGTGGATGATCCTGCCGGTCGGGACACCGCCATGCGGCAGGTAAATCTGTTTAGTGCTTGAATTGCATGGATATGAATGCAGAATGTAATAATATCAATAGCATATGTTGGCAGGCGATTGAGACCGACACACGGACGCTCATCAAGGAGTCATACTCCCTCCCTGTGGAGTTGTCACAAGAATCCACCTCTACCAACTGGTTTGCAAGGAAGTGGGCCAAGCAACACCCTCGTGCCCAAGCTGCCCTCAAGGATGCGCTTATGCGTTATGCAGGATGCGTCACCAAGATTCGAGTAAGTAGTTGCAAGTTTATGCAATCAACCATCATTTTGGCTGGCTCGTATCATACATGACTAACATCAACTGTTATGCAGGCCCATGCATCGCTGGCAATCCCTGCAGCAGACGACGCCAGCTTCTCAAGAGTGTCTCACTTCGTTCGAGCGACCCCTGACTATTTTGAGAAGCCATGGTACTCGGATGTTGCAGTGGAGGGTGTAAGGTATGGTCGGAGAGAGGAGTGGTATGCAAGGTTGCTTCTGTTGTTCCATACCAAAATACGTGGAGAGAGGGAGGAGCTGGCTTACGTTAGATATTGGAATGCAAGCGGAGAGGATACAGCAACAGGATGCCTTCGCCTCAAGTGGACGACAGGAATGTACGCGTACTCCGTGATTCCCATTGAAGCGCTGCTCCGCCACGTCCATGTGGTGAAGGCATTCCATCTGGACAGTACCTATCTCCTTAATAAGTATCAAATGTGATGCATTTATCTTGTAATAAAATGGCCAGCATATTTTCATGCAGTCACATTTCAGGGAAGTCAAAGCTTACAAAACCAGTTACAAATTCAGAACAAAATTGGCAAGCTTAAAAAAACCGGCAATGTACCGGAGTCGCGGATTCGATTTCGACTTCGACAAACAAACGCGTTCCGAATTCATTCCGTGATTGGTCGCGATCTGGCTTCGGAACTTCGCCAACCAAAACACCTGAACTGTACCCCCCTTCGAACCCCCTTCAAAAATCAAGGTTTTTTGTGATGACAGTGAGCCAGACGGAATAGCCGAACACGGGAGAACAGTGAAGGAACATGCAAGAACCAGGCCCCCAGAGGGGTCAAACAGAGAGACTGCAACCAGTGCAGTGGTGTGACTGTGGTGCTGTCGCGAAAGGATACATGGCAGTAAGGATAGCGTCATAGTACAGAGCAAAGATATCCACACCGTGCCTACGAAGCTCTAGGCAGCGGGGGTGTGAGAGTTTGATGGCTTATGCTGGCTTTGCTAGCTTGCTTGGACTTTGTTATGCTATTACTAGCTTGGGTTTATTTTATCATGCATATTTATGTCAAACTCTTATACTATAGTCTGTCTAGGCAGTAGTGGGGTAGACACTATAGGGTACAACACTTCTAGGTTTCCTAGTTGTACCCACCTGCTTTCTAGTTCATTCCATTCCTCAGTCTTCACTTTGTATAGAGCAGGTTCCCTAGTGGGAACGCTTCCTTGGGCCCACCACTGAAATTTTCCTTTCTGACCGGAGCGCTAGTCGCTCCTGCCCGAGGCGCGTCTTTTTCGCCGCCCTTTCCAGGCCCCTAGTGGCCCCTAGCGGCCTCGTCGCTGCCCCCCACGCGGCCCCGTTGCCGCCCCTAGCGGCCCCGTCGCCGCCTCTCACCCTACGCGGCCCCGTCGCCGCCCCTACGCGGCCCCGTCGCCGCCCCTGCGCGGCCCCGTCGCCGCCCCTAGCGGCCCCGTCGCCGCCCCTAGCGGCCCCGTCGCCGCCTCTCACCCTACGCGGATATGCTGTCGAGCAAGGTAGTGCATGCCTTCAACTCGTGACAGAAGTACGTCGAGGAGGGGTCTTGCTGGGGTGGTCAGGAGCGGTGGGGGGGGAGAGCATGGGGACGGCGGAGGATGACGTCAAGGACGCGGTAGGGGGGAACCCATGCATCGGAGAGAACTCGACGAATGCTGCCGATGAAGGAGTGCCAGTTGACGGCGGATTTGTCCGCGGCGAGCTGCAGCTTATCGATAGAGGAGGTATCGATAGGAGGAGGGAGGGGGGAAGGGGGAGGGTGTGGCGTGAGCCATGATGGATGGCCGCGGGTGGACCCGCAGTGGTCCCGGCGGGGCGTGAGGAGAGGCGGTGACGAGTCCGCGTAGGGGAAGGGCGCGGGCGGCAGCGGCTGTTGAGGCCGCGGAGGCGCTGGCGCGGAGGCGGCGTCGAGGCCGCGGAGGGGAGGGGCGCGGGCGGCAGTGGCTGGCGAGGCCGCGACGAGGCGCGGAGGCGGCGTCGGGGGCGCGTAGGGGAAGGGCGCGGGCGGCGGCGGCTGGCGAGGCCGCGGCGGCGCTGGCGCGGAGGCGGCATCGAGGCCGCGGAGCAGCGTGGGCGGCGGCTGGCGAGGCCGTGGCGAGGCGCGGAGGCGGCGTCGGGGCCGCGTAGGGGAAGGGCGCGGGCGGCGGCGGCTGGCGAGGCCACGGCGGCGCTGGCGCGGAGGCGGCGTCGAGGCCGCGGGGTAGCGCGCGCAGCGGCTGGCGAGGCCGCGGCGAGGCGCGGAGGCGGCGTCGAGGCCGCGGAGGGGAAGGGCGCGGGCGGCGGCGGCTGATGAGGCCGCGGAGTGGCGCGGGCGGCAGCTGGTGAGGCCGCAGCGAGGCGCAGAGGCCGCATCGAGGTCGCGGAGGGGAAGAGCGCGGGCGGCGGCGGCTGGTGAGGCTGCAGCGAGGCGCGGTGGCGGCGTCGAGGCCGGGGAGGGGAAGGGCGCGGGCGGCGGCGGCTGGCGAGGCCGCGGCGGCGCTAGCGCGGAGGCGGCGTCGAGGCCGCGGAGTGGCGCGGGCGGCGGCTGGTGAGGCGGCGGGGAGGCGCGGAGGCGGTGTCGAGGCCGCGGAGGGGAAGAGCGCGGGCGGCAGCGGCTGGCGAGGCCGCGGCGGCGCTGGCGCGGAGGCGGCGTCGAGGCCGCGGAGCTGCGGAGGGAAAGGGCGCTAAAGGGGGGGGAGGAAGGCGGCGGGATAGCCGAGAGGGGAAAAAAAAATGGAGGGAGGAGGCCGGGGGTTGCGGCGGCCGGGTGGGCTTATGAGAGTAGGCCTAGGAATGACAGCTCTATACCATGTGAGAAGAGAGGTTGAAATGAAGTTGATAATTTGATAGAGAAACAAGGGGGGTATACATAGTAATGGGGTTGGATGCTAGCCTAAGGTGCCATTATTGGACCCCAACCAAGAGGTTGGGTTAGGAGATTATTGGTGGGGTCCAATAATGTTGACCAAGTTGGGGCTGGGCCAACATTATTGGAGGGGGCCAACAATTCTACCCAACCCAACCTTTTGGGGTCCAATAATTGGACCAAGGTTGGGTTCCAACCTACAAACTGGGTTACCCCTGTTTGTACACCCAAACTAAGTTTGGGTGCTTCACTCTAGCCTAACTTATAGCATATATGCAGGTTACAAGAGAAGAGGGATTCTAACAGTTGAAACGGGGCGCACTAGTGGAGGCATCGTAGTAGGGGAGCTGTGTTGGGGCGAGGGTAGAAGGGGAGGGGAGGGGAGGGGTGGAAAGGGTTGGGGAGGGGAGAGAAAGAGCGTTTACGGCAGGGTGCACTGGTGAAGGCATCATAGAAGGAGTCATAGGAGTGCTACAGTGAGAGGGAGGGGAGAGGAGAGGGGATAGGAGAGGGGAAGAGAAGGGTGAAGGGTGGAGGATGGGAGGGACAAGAGGGGGAAAAGGGAACTTTTGCGTCGACTCAAGACGCATTCAAGAGAGTACGAGCAGGAGGGAGCAGGGAAACAGAGGCAGGGAGTGGGGGTGGAGAAGGGGGGTAAGATGGGGCCTGTCTGCAATGTCAGGAGGAAGAGGGGACGACAAGTGATCGCAATCGTGCAACACACGGTTCCCCAGCAAAAGTACGCTATCCCTCTTCACGTTCCTAAAAGAACAAGCTGTGTGGGAAAGACACACGTTCCACCCTCATTGAAAAGAATGAAACGAGAATTAATGAACTATGAATGAAGTGAGTACAAATATGAAACCCTAATTGGTTGTACCCCCTATGGGATACCCCACTATAGCCTACACAGCAGCATAAGCTATAAAGTTCTGACACACCCCCATAGGCAAAGTGGGGGAGAACAAGGGGTCACAAGACCAGTCAAGCAAAGCAAAGCAAAGCTCAGGGTGGATCACAAAGTCACCACACATTCCGAGCACAAGTTCAAAGGCCAAAAGGCCAGTTCACATGCAAGAGCACATATATATATATAAGAGGCTAAGCAAGCAAGAGCAGGAGTATGTATATGTGACAGTACAAGCAAGGTCATGAGGTGAGCAAGTGAGGCAAGACAGGCACAAGACCCAGCTGAGTGCAGAAGCGCTGATGATCACAAGGCGCAAGTGCCTTGGTGAAGACATCAGCAGTGTTGGCCTCAGAGGCCACGTACGCAAGTCGCAACTGTCCACGTTGCTGTAGCTCACGAGCAAGAAAGTAGCGGAGAGCAATGTGCTTTGTCCTGTGCTCCAGTCGCTGCTCTCGACACAAGGCTAGCATGGCCTTGTTGTCTACGTACAGAACTGGAGGAGAACGAGGCGGCTCACCAAGGTCGGTCAACAGGTAGGTGAGCCAGCGTAACTCCTGTGCAGCCATAGCCCCGGCGTAGATCTCAGCCTCACAACTGGAGCCGAGAACAGACGACGAGCGGGTAGCCCGCCACGAAACAGAGCCGGAACCAAGGCTGAAGGTGTAACCCTGTGACGACCGCTGCGTAGCCTGGTCGTCAGCCCAAGAAGCGTCCGCGTGCCCAGTGAGGACCACTGGACTGCGCCCTCCAAGCACTAGCCCCATGCCCGACGTACTGCACAAGTAGCGCAACACCCTCTTCGCTGCAGCCATGTGCTCTGGTCGGTGTCTCCCAGGAGCAACATAGCGTGCGAGAATGCTAAGAGGGTATGCAAGGTCAGGACGTGTGCAGGTCATCAGGTACATGAGGCAGCCAACAAGCTCTGCATACGGGCCACTCGACTCTACGGACTCATCCGAAGGCAGAGCTGAGAGCGAGTGGCGAGTAGGCAGAGGAGTGGCCTGAGGCGAGGAGTACGTGAAGCCGAAGCGCTGAAGGACCTGCTGCACCATGTGTGACTGAGTCAGGGTAATGGTGCGGCGTGCTCTGTCTCGGGTGATCTGCAAGCCAAGGTAGCTGCGCAGTTCACCCAGGTCAGTGCACGTGTGTCTCTTCTGCAGCTCGGACTTCACGTAGGCGAGTCCAGCAGTGTCAGCTATGGCAAAGACCAAGTCGTCGACGTACACGAGGATGTAGAACGGCGGCAAAGAGGTGTCGGTGCGCAGAAACAACGACGGGTCGGCAGTAGAAGGAGCAAACCCAAGTGCCGCCAGCGTAGTCCTCAGTGTGTCGTGCCACTCACGTGGCGCCTGGCGGAGACCGTAGACTGGACGCCGGAGACTCGACTGGGTACCAGGAGGGAAAGACCCAGTGAAGCCAGGTGGGCGACGCAGCCAGATCTCCTCGTGCAGGCTGCCCTGCAAGAAAGCTGTGCTGAAGTCGAGAGAGTGCAGCTCGTAGTCACGGTGTGCAGCAACGTGCAGCAGTACCCGAAGAGTGGTCATCTTCGGGGTGTGGGAGAAGGTCTGAAAGTAGTCAACCCCCTGCCGCTGACTGAAGCCACAAGCCACGTAGCGCGCCTTGAAGACAGGCGGAGAACCCGGCGGCCGCTTCACCCTGAAAATCCACATGCCACTGACGATGTTCGCCCCAGGAGGGGGAACAGCGTCGACGTAGGTGCAAGTGGACTTCCAGGAAGCCATCTCTGCATCCATAGCTGCCTGCCACTGAGAGGAGTAGGGACCCTCTATTGCCTCCGCGTAAGAGCGCGGAGTCGGGATGTCTAGTGCATCCGGGTCTCCCTCAGGGGCTAGCAGTACAGACGCGAGATGAGGTGAAGCGGCGGCCAGACACTGGAACTCCTCCTGCCTGTCCTCAAGGACGTCCGTGCCAAGGGCACACTCACCCCCGACGGACGGAGGACAGGCAGACTCAGACTCAGACTCAGCAAGGTCAAGAAGTGAGCAAGTGAGGGAAGACAGGCACAAGGCCCAACTGCGTGCAGCAACGCTGATGATCACAAGGCCCAAGTGCCTTGGTGAAGACATCAGCAGTGTTGGCCTCAGAGGCCACGTACGCAAGTCGCAACTGTCCACGCTGCTGTAGCTCACAAGCAAGAAAGTAGCGGAGAGCAATGTGCTTTGTCCTGTGCTCCAGTCGCTGCTCTCGACACAAGGCTAGCATGGCCTTGTTGTCTACGCACAGGACTGGAGGAGAACGAGGCGGCTCACCAAGGTCGGTCAACAGGTAGGTGAGCCAGCGAAGCTCCTGGGCAGCCATAGCCCCGGCGTAGATCTCAGCCTCACAACTGGAGCCGAGAACAGAAGACGAGCGGGTAGCCTGCCACGAAACAGAGCCGGAACCAAGACTGAAGGTGTAACCCTGTGACGACCGCTGCGTAGCCTGGTCGTCAACCCAAGAAGCGTCTGCGTGCCCAGTGAGGACCACTGGACTCCGCCCTCCAAGCACTAGCCCCATACCCGACGTACTGCACTATGCCTCCCATATCTTTGCCTCCCCTCCCACCCTCTACCTCCCTCTCCTGACGATCCTCCTCGTGAACCCGACCTCCAACTCACCGTCGACCAAGCCACCACTGATGCAGACTTCATCTTACGCCGCCGTGCATACCTTATCCGCAAAGCCGAGTACGATGCAGCAGTTGAAGCCTATGACCAGGCAGTTGCTGGCCGCAATGCTCATCTTGCCGTCGTCGCCAAATACACGGACGACTTGGCTACCTTTACCCCAAACCTCATCGCCTGGACAGCTGCTGACACCCGCGCCTGCACCGTTCTCCTCGGTGCTCTCCCTGACTCCCTTATGCGCCGCTTCCAGGCTCGGGAACTCCGTGCCTTGGTCATTTGGGCCGAACTCCATGCCATGTTTGAGCGCCGCGACATCAGCTCGGTTGGCATCCTCTTTCAAGAGTACTTTTCTATCACCCTCACTACATGTGACGGAGCGGTCGACTATGTCGGACGTATGAGAGAAGTAGCTGATCGCCTCGAAGCCCGCCAGGCCGGCCTCTCTGAACACCTCCAAATCCATCGCCTCCTGTTTAACCTCACCCCAGACTATGAATCCCGCCTTCACGCCTTTACTTAAGCCAATCCCATGGCCGATCTCGCCTCCGTTGAGCAGTGGATCATAGACACCGAAGTCAAACTTCGCACCCCCATTGTCAACCTCGCCTCCTCCCAACCCTCCTCCTCCTCCCTCAACGCTACCCAGCCCTGCAAGCAGGCTAGGAATAACGGCAAAGGGGTAGGTGGGGGCAAGGGAGGTGGCGGTTAGGGCAACGGCAGCACAAACAACCGTGGCGGCACCACTGGGGATGAGCATGGCACCACTAATTCGGGCGGAGCCTCTACAGGCCGCGGAAGCCGTCCTGGCACTCTTCCGCCCTGCACCTATGTCCGTCGCTATGGTCCCCGGGCTGGAACACCCTGCGGGCAGACCAACCATACCCCTAGCACTTGCTTCAAGGCTCTCGATGATGCCTGGTACGCGCGGGGCAATGTTGGCACTCCTCCCAAGTGGGGAACGACCTCCCCACGTCCCTCCCTTGTAGACATCCAAACCAACCCCGCTTACCTCCCTGCCCACCTCCGCCTCCTTGCTCCCCCCACACCGCTCCTTAATCTCCAACAGTAGCACCTCCTGCAGCAGCACCAGCAGCACCAGCAACAGCAGCAGCAGCAGCAGCTGTTTCATCAGCAGCCACAGCAGCAGCAGCAGCAGCAGCCGCAGCCCCAGCCGCACCCATGGGGAACTGGACTCCTACCCCAGTGGGAACCCAGCCCTCCTCCTTGGCAGCAGCAGCAGCTGAATTTTGGCACAGCTGCCATAGCTGCTCAAGCCTCACCGTCCCCCTTTTGGGGTGCTCCACCCCCTAGTAGCACTGCCCCTCCTCTTACCCAGGAGAGCTTTCTTGGCAACATTGCTATCTCACCCTCACTTCCTTCCATGTACCCATCCACCATTAATGAAACTGCTTTCCATTACTCCGTCTCTTCCTCCTCCTCACCCACTCTAGACTTTGTCCTCGATAGTGGGGCCACTGAGACCGCTCTCAAGGATGCTGGTACACTCACACCCCTCTCTCCTCCCACGCAAGTTCACGGCGCTGACAGCAGCTTTACCATCCTATGCACACACCTCTCCACTCTCCCCTGCACACTCTTCCCCTCTGGTAAGGTAACTGATCTCCACATCCCCACCCTCCGAAACAACCTCCTCTCCCACCGTGAAATCCAAAATGCAGGTATCACTGCCGTCTATCCAGGTAATGCCACCTACTGTGACCTCTACCACACCGCCACTGGTCGCTTCCTTCTACGCATTCCCCTCTGCCCCCGCACTCGCCTCTACACTCTCCGCACCCCTTGGCCATCCTTCTGCCATGTCACCACTCGTGTTGGCACTTCCACTAACCCTCCCCATCCCCCTACCTCACCTCCACGCCACAAACAGGGGCCGCAGCAGCAGCAGCAGCAGCAGCCGCCACAGCAGGGGCAGCCACAGCAGAAGCAGCAGCCGCCGCCGCAAAGGCAGCAGCAGGGGCCGCAGCAGCAGCAGCAGCAGCCGCCGCCGCGGCAGGGGCTGCAGCAGCAGCAGCAGCAGCCGCCGCCGCAGAGGCAGCAGTATGGGCTGCAGCAGCAGCAGCAGCCGCCACAGCAGGGGCAGCGGCAGTAGCAGCAGCAGCAGTCACCCCCCCCTCTCTCACTCACTCCAACCCCCTCCACCTCCGATCATCTCTCCCACCCCGCTGTGCTGCTCCACCACCGTCTCGGCCACCCCAATTTCGCCGCTCTCCGCACTGCCATCACCTCTCGCCTCCTTCACAGCCTCCCTCCCACTCTCCCCCCCCTCCCTTCCTCTCCAGCCCCTCCATGCCCCTTGTGCATCCACGGCAAACTCAAACAGTCCCCCCACCACAGCCACCCATCCTTTGCTCCCGCTCCAATTGACCTCGTCCATATGGACCTCTGGGGACCCTCCCCCGCTCGTTCTCATCAGGGCCATCGCTACATGCTGGTCCTCATAGACGACCACAGCCGCTACTCCTCCATTTTCCTCCTCCACACAAAAGACCAGGCGCCGACCATGATCATCAACTGGGCCGAGCAATGCCGTGCCCACTTCAAGCGTCCCATCGGCCGCCTACACTCTGACGGGGGAGGCGAATTCCTCAATCGCACTCTCTCCCATTACTGCACCACCCATGGCATCCAACAGACTCACACCCTCCCCCACTCCCTGCAGCAGAATGGCGTCGCAGAAAGCCGGATTCGCGAAATCACCAAGATCGCCCGCTGTCTCCTCGCTCACGCCTCAACCCCCCCTTCCCTCGGGGGCTATGCTTTGCTCCATGCTGCCCTCCTCCTCAACCTTCACTCCCATCCTCAACATACCACCACCACCCCTACGGAGCTTTGGTCGGGCACCAAACCTGACGCCGCTGGTCTCCGTGTCTGGGGTTGCAAGGCATATGTCCTTATCCCTCCTCCCGATCGCACCCACGGCAAGCTCGCTTCTCGCGCCCTCGAGTGTGTCTACCTCGGGCACAACCGCGACTCGCCCGGCTACCTCTTCCTTCACCCTCCCTCTGGACGCCTTATCCGCAGCATTGACGTCGTCTTTGACGAAACCACCCCCTATTACTCCTCTTCACCACCAGACCCCCTCCCTCCTCCTTCACGTCCTCTCACCTGGACCGACACTGTGCTCCCTCCCCTCCTCCCTCCTGCACCCCTTCTCCCACCTCTCCCTACTCCGCTTCCGCCACCCTCATCTGCCGACATCTATGATCCCACTGCTCCCGCATCCCCTGCACACTCCGCAGCCCCCCCTCCCTCCTCTCCTCCCCCCTCTCCTTCTCCTCCGTCCCAGCAGCAGGGGCAGCAGCCGCAGCAGCAACAGCAGCAGCATGGGCAGCAGCAGCCGCCGCAACAGCAGCAGCAGCAGCAGAAGCAGGGGCAGCAGCAGCAGCAGCAGCTGAGGCAGCAGCATCGGGAGGAGCAGCAGCCGCAGCAGCAGCAGGGGTTCCAGCAGCAGCGGCAGAGGGCAATTGCCTGCTCCTCACCCTTCCTCCTCCCTCGCATGCACACCCGCTCCCTCGATCCCATCCTTGGCACACCGCCACCTCCATCCCTCAACCAGCTCGAAGATTCCCATGAGGAGTTCACCATGGTCCAGCGCCACACTCCCTCTCTCACCACGCTCTACCCTGGCCTCCTCGGCGCTCTAATCCTTAGCGCGATCTCCGCTCCCACCATCTTCGTCCCCTCCACCTTCCAAGAGGCTATCACCTGCCCTGACGCTGACAAGTGGATAACCGCCATCTTCCTGGAATGTGAGGCATTTATCCGCAACGACTCCTTTATCGACGTTCCCCTTCCCTCTGATGCCAACCTTGTCGAGGGCAAGTGGATCTTTTGAGTCAAGCAGCTGCCGGGAGAAGAACCGGTCTACAAAGCCCGCTACGTTGCCAAGGGGTTCACCCAGACCTGGGCTGAAGACTACTGGTTCACATTTGCCCCCACTGTCAAGCAGGCCACCCTACGCACCCTTATGGATATTGGTGCGCGTGACGACATGGAGATTGACTCCATGGACGTCTCCAACGCGTTCCTGCAAGGCGAACTGCACGAGCGCATCTTCCTCCGTCGACCTCCCGGGTTTCATGCTGCTTTCTCTGACAACACTGTCTGGCAACTTCGGCGACCTGTTTATGGCCTGAAGCAGGCACCACGAGAATGGCATGCAAAGCTGTCTGCCACTCTCCAGTCCCTTGGTTTCTCCGCCTCCCACTCCGATGCCAGCCTCTTCATCCGCTCTTCCCCCCGTCGCTTCTTCATCTCGGTCTGCATTGACGACATGATCTTGCTCGCTGACACCACGGCCGACATGGAGCAAGTCAAGCGGTCACTTCAGGAACGTCTCAAGTGCAAGGACCTTGGTCCGCTGCAGAACTACCTCGGCATGGCTATCACTCGTGATCGATCCGCCTGCACCATCACCCTCTCCCAGTCCCACTACATCGGCCAGGTCCTGGAGAAGTTCGAGATGGCGCAGGCCAAACCGGTCTCCACCCCCCTCCCCTTCGGTCACCAACTCGCGCCACCCACCTCCCCCTCCCCCTCCCCCTCCTCTCGGCCCTATGCCGAGCTCGTTGGGTCGCTGATGTACGCGATGATGTGCACTCGTCCCGACCTCGCCTACCCCATCAGCGTCCTTGCTCGGTTCGTCGGCTCCGGCCGCCACTCTGACAAACACTGGGCTGCCGCCAAGCGGGTCCTCCGCTATCTCCGTGGCACCAAGGACGCCCTCACCCTGGGTGGATCCTCCCCTCCCCTTCTCTCTGGCTTCAGCGAATCCTCTTGGGCAGACTCCCAGCCAAACCGCCGCTCCTCGCAAGGCTATGGCTTCACACTCGGCAGCTGGCTTATCAGCTGGCGTTCTACTCGCTCCTCTGCCATTGCCCTCTCCTCCTGCGAAGCTGAGCTCTATGCTGGCACCATGGCCGCGCAAGAGTCCCGCTGGCTCTGCTTTCTTTTGGCAAAGCTTGGAGCACCCCAGCGCTGTCCCACGCTCTGGTGTGACAACGCTAGCACCATCCATCTCACCCAGGACCCCGTCTTTCATGGACGCTCTAAGCACATTGAGCTCCGCTATTTCTTCATCCACGACCTTGTCCACCAGAACCTCCTTGCTGTTCGCAAGATCGCTGTTGAAGCCAACTTGGCTGATATCTTTACCAAAGCCCTTCTTCGCCCTGCACACTCTACTCTTCTCCGCCTCATCGGCCTCGCTCCCCCAGGCGCGCCTTGATTCAGGGGTTGCTTCCCTCAAGCCTTTCCGCATCTCTGCCGGTTAAGGGGTTGTGTTAGAATCCCTCTTCTCTTGTAACCTGCATATATGCTATAGGTTAGGCTAGAGTTAAGCACCCAAACTTAGTTTGGGTGTACAAACAGGGGTAACCCAGTTTGTAGGTTCGAACCCAACCTTGGTCCAATTATTGGACCCCAAAAGGTTGGGTTGGGTAGAATTATTGGCCCCCTCCAATAATGTTGGCCTAACCCCAACTTGGCCAACATTATTGGACCCCACCAATAATCTCCCAACCCAACCTCTTGGTTGGGGTCCAATAATGGCACCTTAGGCTAGCATCCAACCCCATTACTATATATACCCCCCTTGTTTCTCTATCAAATTATCAACTTCATTTCAACCTCACTTCTCACATCAACCGCTTTTCTTCTCCCTACCCCTCCCAACTCCTCCCCACTCCCTCCCCCTCCCCCATCCCCTCACTGCAACATTCTTTTGAGATGAACGAC